AGCCCTCAATGTCGGGAATACCGAGGTTGTGGCAGATAGCTTGTCGAATATCCGCCGCCGTCTCTGCGTCTGTGATGTCGCACATCCGGTAGTTCCAATGGTCCATGGTAGCCAGGACGTATGTTCTAGCTTGACCAACACCGTGTCTTGGTCCGTAGTGCGAAGTGATGCTGGACGGGTCCGGGTGGGTGTAACCAGCATCCGATCCATGCGTGGCTATTGACAAGGGCTTATGAAAGGCGGGCGAAGTGGGAGAGTCGAGATCGTCAGGCGAAGGAAAGGCGCCGTCTACTTGTTGCCGCTTCCTCCTGGATAGGAAACTGAGAAGACCCTTGGAGTCCTTGGCAGATGACGGAGACTCGGCATGCTTGGAAGAGCTGTCTTGACTCCTCGAGGAGGACATGAGCTCCGCCAGGCTCATGCCTCGCGTGATGAGGCCGACCGCCTCTGGAGGGATGCCCGATCCATAAATCGCGGCGTTGGACGCGGCCGAGTCGGTGCTGTTCCTGGACCTGTGGGTAAACTTGGATGAGTTGGGCGAGGATGATAGAATCGGAGTAGTGGCCGAGTGGAAAAGGGTGGGCTGGGTTGCCGGGCTGTTGGCCGGGCTCGAGCAATGGGCCGCCTGCTCGCCAGTGGGACTCTGCCGTCCATGCTCAAGATTCTTCAACATTGTCCTATGATTCGTGTTGTCGGTGCCATTTGCTGGCGGCATCGTCGTCGATCTGGTTTGGGAAAACCTTCGGGCGTGGGAGTTGGCTGGCACAACCGGAGACTCGAGAGCCTCTGGGGCATCCGAGCTCGCAGGAGCGAGATTCGGGGGTTGGCTGGATGCGGTAGACTCCTTTCGGCTGTGGGAGGGCATCGCCTTGGAAGCCTCAACAGGCCGGCCAGTGACGACGCTCCTGATGAGCCTCCGCATGCGCTTCCCCTCCTCCCTCTCTCTCGGCTGGTCCCATCCCGTCCCGCTATTCGTACACTCCTGCGCCAGTCGAGGGTACACCCGCTGGTGCATCATGCCAAAGTTTCCGCGGCCGCCATGCGCGCTGCCCAGCTCCAGGAACTGCGCCCCGTGCAAGTTGAGCGACCGGAACGTCTCCTGCCAGTCCTTGGAGAACTGGTTTTGCGCCAGCCACAG